TTGACAAATGGCCCCAACTTTCATCTGGAGGCTTAATAAAGACATGTATGGAGGAAAATATTCATCTCTTTGCATTCACTACACCTTTTGTTAACCATGACTCAGTAGTTTCCATGTCTGTCACAAGTGCTGACTTTTAAGTTCAAGTCCTGAGGTGTGGACTCGCAGTAAAAGCAAAGTTCATTATTCAGGTTCACCTGGAAGAAGCCGGCCACAGCAGCAGCTCCACACTTGTCTCTGTGCATCCCAGCCATGAAACCACCAGCCTTGATGTCTGCTCCGCCAGTGTCGTATGTGATGCCCTGGAAACATCACAGAAGAACCAACCTCGGTTTAATAAGTAGTCAGTCACATGCAGATAATACAATTGAATGTGTGGCCAATACTGAACCAAATAAAACCAACCTTCCTTTCCCTGATTAATAGATGGGCCACAATTTTCATTATCTGCTCTATTATTAATTTTCCATTTCCCAAGGAGACTTCTTTAAACGTCTAGTTTTACCTACCAACAGTCAAAAACAAAATAAATTTGCTATCATGTAAAACAATCTTCACATTTTAGAAGCTGGAACCACTAAATGTTGTAAGAACGGACTAAACTACTAGGGGTCAAGTGTCTTGCTCAGGGACACATTGGTGGATGTGCCACAGTGGGAATCGAACCCGGGTCTCTAACAACAGATAATATTTGCAGAGTCACATTTGTCAGATCACCAAACATGCAGCACGTTGACTACAACCGTTCCATATCAGCCTTTCACCAAACTTTAGATTGATAAAACCATTTACAGCTCCAAAAACAATAAGAACAAAGCCTAATTCACGTATTCTGTAGCTTGTGCCACATAACTCAAGCGTTTTCAATCTAACAGATGCACCTCAGATCCAGGAGTCAAATATTTACCTCATACATAATTTTTAAATTAAATATTTAATTCAATATTATATTTTATTGTAGTATGGTATACATTTCTCTTTTATAATGCCGTGGTTGAATGTCTGGTGATGTTTAGCAAACATTTAATGAATATTTTGGAGCCGTTACATCATGTTTTTTTTCTGAAATGTGTAACGCTTTAAAAATGAAGACTTTGGTTAGTACATGACTTATTATGTTCGGAGTTTGTCTTTATTGTTTTAGTGGACTGAAGTCTGAGAGTCTCTCACCTTTCCCACCAACATGAGCGTCGTTTGGACCGGCCCCTCTCCACAGTACTGCAGCTTGATCACTTTGGCCTGGTGACGAGGTACACCTGTATGTAGGAGGAAACCATGAATATTATGTGTCCAAACGTATTTTTAAAAAAAACAACATTTAAACACTTATTAAGTCATAAAAACAAAATGTTCTCCTACTGTTGGCACAGCGGTTGACTGCAGCTAGACAGGGGTACTCTTTCTCCAGAACCTTCAGGTCGCTCACCACTTCGACCTAGGAGGTTAACAAACACACGTTCTTTTGTTTGGGGCCATTGAAGAGCCAAACAACTGTCCTTAACTGTGACTGATATTGTTTGTAAACATTTTCCAGATTCTTAGATGACAGATCACTATCTCCTAACAATCACAATAAATAAGACCATCATGCTATGCTGTTTGCACACGTGGTATTAATATTGCTCTCTACCTGCACAGGGCTGTCCTTGAAGAGCTCCTGGACGTAATCAGCCACACGGGGAGAAGCCATACGTTCAGGGTCCGAGCCTCCAATGTCACGACATGCCAGTCTGAGGACGGGAAACAGGACGAGGGATGGTGAACAAATGAACACCACAACCTGAGGAAATCTTAACAGGGAATGACGTGAAGAAGTTGACCCACCTCCCGCTCTCCAGAGCATTGGCTAGCTCCACCAGTCTCTTTCCCTCCGCCTCCTGCGCTGCCCACAGACCCAGAACACACACCTTGAAGTCGGTGGGCTTTAGGTTCACCTCCCGCACTTCCAGGGGCTTTTAAGGAGGGAGGCATATACATTTTCTTTTAAAAGTTTGCATCTAAATCTGGATACACAGAGATACAGCTAAGACAGACTAGAGTTCACACAAGGTATTACAAGGCCGATCTTCCACACCACACGCCACATCTATTAGCTAAGCAGTACTTCACACTAAACTTTAGTTAGTGGAGTTTCCTTTTAAAACTGTCCACTTGCAGTTGGAGCATCCAGGACACGCTGAGTGTGAAAAGAGTGTCTTCCCTCACCATGTAGAGAGCATGAAGGGCGCCGAGCGCAGCCACCAGAGTGTTGTTCTTATAGTCCTTATGTGGAGGGCAGACCAGCAGGGGGCGCTGCATGCCTGCTTTCAAGGCCCTGAAAAGGACACAGATGAGCAAGACAGCAAAGAAACCTGGAGGTAAACCACAAACATGAGACACTGGGGTGGGGGGTGGGGGGTGTGGTGGTGGTGGTGGGGGGGGGGTCAGCTTCCATGAACTGACCTTTTGATGCCGTTGACTGCTGCATCGTTGAAACGCCTGATGTCATCGTAGTCGCGGTTTACTGGGCCGGTGGAGGCAAACACAAGGCGGTTACCAGGAAGACCAGGGACCTTCAGGACCACCACCTCCTCCCCGAGACCGCTGTCCACCTACAGGGAGAGCAGAAAGGGAAAAGTGACACCAGGAAACATTATCACTAAAGAACACATAACACCATCTAGAGAGAATAAAAACGTCACCCTCCATCTTTGTGTACAGTGTTAGCAGGAAGGCTGATGCCGTCAGATCCTTCAGTGACCTGGTGCCCAATCCTTTTGATAACAATCCCTTTAAATGAAGCAGTGTCTGCTTTAGACCTGTTGTCATTGGTGGTACAGCATACGGCCAACCCAGGCCTGAAGAGGTGAAATTATTCACTAATTCCCCCCCGCATATAAACAGGAATGTCTGAGAAAGGAAATTATATATTATATTAATGCAGCATAAATTATATTTCCTGCTTTCTGACCCTGTTAACTGTCTCAAGTGTTGACGGAGTCACATCTGATTGATCCCCATATTGCATAAATATAAAAGCACTTTGACTTAATTTAAGCTCCTATTGCACACACACTGCTTTTTTGACTGAAAATAGCTCTTTTTGTGCGACTTGTAATAACTTGACAATGTAGATGTTTTACGCATCATGTAACCCTAACCGAACCATTTATGATGAATCACTACAGTCCGACAACATTTCCTGCAAATGTACAAATTTTAACTAAGAAAAGGCACGATTATTTTGGCCAATATTGAGATCACAATTATTTAACAGGATTACTTATTGACTTGCACACATTTATTGAACTTTCAAAATGAAATGATTTTTAAAATTACATATGCATTACCCTGTGAAATAAGAAATAGGAATCCAACATCACTAACTTCAAAACGTATCTTAGAGGCAATAGGATGACAACATAATGCTAAAATTCAACTGTAGTGTTCTGTAGGGAGATGCAGTGACTTGGGTGTAAGAAAAATATAATAAAATAAATAATTTAAGCTAAAGGTCCACTAGCTGATACATATTTATGCAGTGTAAAGTGCTGTAGGCTTAAGCTAATAATGTTGACCAACAGGTTATAGCAGGTCTACACCCTGGCTCAAGCTGAATACACATGCCACACCCTTTCGCAGAGGCCAAAGGGTGGGAGAAAGGAAAGGAGTGTGCTGGATTTCTAACAGAAAAACAACACGAGGGCATCAGTGTGACAGAAATACGACATGATTGTTTATAAATTTATCTCGTTTTCATAATCGTTGGAAGCCAAAATCAAAAATAAAAGTCCTGCTAAAATGTATTGTTTTTTACAGTCCCACCCATTAGGCTACTTGCAGTAATCTGTATGGTGTGAAAGAGACAAAGAAAGATCAGGTGAGAAAACCAGATGTTTTTATGGTTTGTGAAAGACTGGCTGCAGGTGGTAGATGAACAGAGGCTTACAGAGCTGTAGTCCTGCAGTGGAGCTTTCAGACTCTCGAGCTCCGAGGGCAGTGTGTCGTGGCTCTGGGTCACCAACACGACGCCATCAAAACTAAGAAGAAAAGACATCACTATCATCTAACGCAGCTTCAGTCTGTTAAGGTGCACAAAATAACTCCCCAACACCCAGCTAGAGACAAAGCATTTCTTCCCAATACTCACTTCTGGTTCTTGAGGTCAGTGGTCCATTCAACAGGCTGGACGCTGGGCAGAGAAACACACACAGATAATGGAGTTATTTCCAGCTTTGTCTGACACGGATAAGATATATCAGAGTGATGCAATTAAGACTCCTGTGTCAGGTTTTATAATAGAGGTTAATGATAACAGTGTGGGTCAAAGTGTGGAAGCCTGCAAGACCTTTGAGATCTGCTTTAATGTCAGCTGTTAAAAACATGAGACAGGTTCATTTCATGTCTCACTGCAGTGAAATCAAAACTTTGTACCAAGTGTGCACTTTATAGGAAGCAATCGCCACAGTTTCCATCTAATGATGAGGCTATATTACTGTTAACTTCAGATTATGTTACCAGTTTTACACTTGTCAGAGATTTCTGGCATCATATGACACTTCCATAGAGTATAGAGAAGTGTAACTTAGCCTGAAAGTAAAACTTAAGCAAAAATGATGACGGGATCTTTAAGTGGAACCTGAACCCAGAAAATATCAAACCTCTCTTGAAACATGAGAGGGTCAGATTTATGAGCTGTGAATGAATAACCAAACTATCACAGATACATTAGGTTACTAAATTAAACCAACTGGGAGAAACATATTATATCGCTGGGGAGGGGGAAAAGTGTCACATTCCACAAAACATTTGCTCAGCTGATTGTTTCGTGAACAAAGAGCACGCGGGGGACAGCTGCACGTTAGAAAACCGTTGAATCAAAACGCAAACCAGGCAGGTTAATCCGTTAATCTCACCTGGTGCACATGTTGGTCGTCGTCGTCGTCCTCCTCCAGTGTCTTCAGGATGAAAGAGTCAGCTGATAGCCGGTGACTACGGTTCCTTCCCTTCAGTGCGCTGGTTGGCCACGTGATCACCATGAACTTGCACTCGTGCTGCCTTCGCGGGCTTCTCGTAGCTCGTAATTACGACCATCCGAGTCGTAAAATGCTGCTTATCTTTAGTAGCGTTTAGTGGTATTATAATGTCAGTTGGTAATTATGTCAACTGATATGAACTAGTTACCGTTTGGTTCCAGTTTAAGCTGTTAAAGTTTAGGAGTGTTTTTTTTTAAAAAGAGACAGGGCAAATTACATTTGTCCGCGAAAGTTGCTAAATTCCCACTGTACCTAAAGACACATTCACGGATACAGTAGGGATTTGTAGTTTCCAGGACTGATTCAATAAACGCGAAAAGCAGCATTAAGATGATTATGACCAATGTAGCAATTATAGCTTGGTATGATAACATAAGCATGGCTACACTCAGTCGTTAGCTTCGTTTGAGCATTTTATCTCGCTTTTGACAAGGCTGACCTCATGGACTACAAACTCTTACCGGAAGTAGTTATAGGTAGTGTTGTCTGTGCAGAGCAGTGGAGGTTCGTATTGACTAAAACTAGTACAAAGGGCGACAAATACGTAGTAGCTGTCCTGGTTATTCGGTAGCAGGTTACGGTGTCACGTTTCTCCTTAAAATGGCATTTTATCTAAGATAAAAGCTAAACTTCAAAGCTACAGATCGAGCTGCAGGTAGGCAGATGCTACGCTGCTGCAGCTGTCTTGCTTTTCTTATCGTGGTTATGATTTACACCTCAATTATGAAGTGTTAGGAGGCAATGATCATTGTACCTTGTGTGAGACATAACGTGTACTTTCCTCCTTTCGACATTTTGTTCTCACTGAAGTATTTAAGAGTTTAAGACTTTTGCTTTGGACAGTAACAGTCAGATAACTTGATAGATTTCATAGGGAAGCTTGGGAAATTTGAGAAAATTTAACAAACAAGCAGTTTTTTTTTCAATAGAAGAAAATACCAGAATTACACTTTTCTTTGCATTATAAGCAAATTTTCACCAGCCTCTCGCAAAAGAAAGGCCAGTTTGGTACAAAGACATGATGAGGTTTTGTCATTTCACAGCAGGACAAGGTCTGAAACTATGTCCATAAATTGATTAGTCGACATAACGGTTATCTTTTTTTTGATGATTGATTACTGATTTATCAAAGAAAAATGCCAAAACTTCTCAGGGCTCCAGCATCTTAAATGTGAGGATTTGCTGCTTTGCACTTTTTCATTTACTATCTTGGGGTTTGGGACTTTTGTTGGACAAAACTTGTGGTCTGAAGCTGTCCCCTTGACCTTTAGGAAACTTTAATGGGTACCATTTTATCACATCTAGTAGACAAATTATTAACTGTAAAAACTATTAATAAATGTGGGTTTTGATTTGTGTAGCTGCTGCAATCTACACTGAAAAAAATATAAATGCAGTACTTGTTTTTGCCCCCATTCATCATGAGCTGAACTCAAAGATTTAACGTACAATGTACACAAAATGTACACAAAAGGCCTATTTCTCAGAGAGTCTTATATTTAGAAAGAAATACTTGTCTTGTTAGATTTCCCTTTTCTCTTGTCTGTCACCAGTCATCTTGTTTTCCTTCCTCTTCTCACATTTCACTTCTTTTGTCCTCCACAGATGAGACTCCCTTTTCGCTCCTTTCGCATATTCAGGAGTTTACTCTCTCAAAGGCCAACCACAAACCTGCAGAGGCGGCGAGGCCTGAGCAGTGCAGCGATGCGCCTGGTGCAGTTTCATTGCCATGGAGGTGGCATCAGAGTGGGAGTGGAGCAAGGCGAGGGGCTCGGCGTGGTGGATTTGAAGGCGTATGACCCCACCATGCCCTCAACAATGAGAGAGCTGCTGGAGCTGGGAGACAAGGGTCTGGAGTGTGCACAGAGGTATCAAACACATCCAGTTATATTTTTAGTACATATCTTCGTCCTGTTTAGATTCTACAGTAGTTCCTCCTTCTTTATCCTCATCGGTCATCTTCCCCAATTTAGCATGTCTTCCTCTTTTTCCTCCTCAACTTGATCTCCTGAATAAATTATCTTCAAGGTTTCCATAATCCTCTTAAATCATCATCTTTTCCCAAAAATAAATGTAATCTAAAATCAACAACCTTCTTGTGTAATCTTTCATCTTCCTAAATGATCGTCTTCTTGATCATCTTGAATCATGACCACCTTTTTACATCAACCTTTTTGCTTGTTAAATCACCTTCATAATCCTTTTCGTCACTCAACTAAATCATCTTGTTCCTTTTTCCTTTCTTAATGATCATCTTCCTGAATGGACTTTTAGATGAGCACCCATTCTCCCATCATCCTCTTTGTTTATATCTTCCTCAACATCATCTTCTTCCTCTTCAGTCAACTTCATCGCTAACTCCTCTTCCTCCTCCTCAGAGCCTTGTCGTCCAGTCAGTGTGTGGTGGAGCGATCGGACATCCAGCTGCTGTCACCTGTGTTGGCACCGGAGAAGGTGGTGTGTGTGGGTTTGAACTACAGGGACCACTGCCTGGAGCAGAACGCCCCGATCCCCAAAGAACCGATCATCTTCAGCAAATTCCCCAGCGCCATCACCGGGCCATATGATGACATACATCTGCCTTCAGAGAGCCAGGTGAGAGCGAGCACGCACTCTCACTTTGTCCCCCTCTTCTCAAAAAAAGAGGGGGACAAAGTGCTTTACAGGAAGAAAAAAAAAATGTAAAAGTTATAGAATCAAGAAAAAGCTTAAAACAAATGGGTTTTCAGATGCTGTTTAAAGATGTGCACTGATGTGGGAGGTTGTTTCAGGGTCAAGAAGCAACAAAAGCAAAAGTACAATCACCTATAGCTTTCAACCTTGACCTCAGAGCAGCCAGAAGTCCCTGCTCTGAAGATCTGAGGCTCCTTCCAGTGGTCTGAGGCCACAACAGCTCATTTAGGTAAAACAGTGCTCGTCAGTCTTCACTTTGATTAATAAATAATGAACTTGATGATCCTAAATTGTTTTCACTTGAACATATAGGTTTATTACAACCCAAATCTGTCGACAGAGACGATATTGGTACAGCATGCACACAGGTGTGCCAAAAAAAGGGAGCCTGCAAACTCTGAAACGTTCATCTCATCTGTAGCTCTGGACATGTTGGCACCTCCTAACAAAGTATGGCTAATCTGAAGGGCACTGAGGCATCTTAGGTCAAAATGTCAAGCACAATAGTAGACTTTCATCTACCCAGAAAATTTCCTCCCCATGGATGAAGTAGGTAGGTGGCTAAATTTGGTTGCAGGTGAGTTATGGTGCAGAACAGTATCTGGGAAATGCAAACAATCTGTGTCACAGTTAAGTTGTAGAAAATGTTGAGACTTGAGTATAGATTTTAGTTAAATTCTTCATCTCCAGGAGATGAGGGTTATTTTAACTGTCTCTCAAGCACTTGATATTATTATTATTTTTATCTTGAAAGAAAAGTCAAGATGAATTTATTCATGAATACAGAGTGAACATACTTGTTTTTATAGTGTCATGTTTTTGCAGTGAATGGACACACAATCCACATCCTTTACAGTTAATACAAAGAGGAAATGATACGTGTGGTGCTCGAATGCCAATTAAATGGCACCATCAAATTAAATAAATTCAATACTTTTTAGTTGTTTTCTAAGAACTTTGTGGAGTTGTCTCACCAACATTTAAAAATATATTTACATTTTTTGAAAGTGTGAGCAGCATCTTCATTTCCTTGTGGGACAGTGTGCATCAACTGAACACTCAGATCTAAATTTTAAAAATGCATACTGGCTGATTTAAGTGTACTTAAATAAATAGTAAAACCTGCTAAGATTTAGTGTCATTTTTGATGCTGTATTTGCTTCATCTTGGTCTTTTGTCTGACTGAAGGAGGTGGACTGGGAGGTGGAGCTGGCCTTTGTGATTGGACGAAGAGGAAAACACATCAAGGTGAGCACCACAATATCACCTATGATGGCCATGACGCTTTGATGAAGCATCTATTCTGACTCCATTTCCACTCCTCTTGTTCAGGAGGAAGATGCTCTCTCCTACGTGGCTGGGTTCACTGTGGCCAATGACATCACCGCACGTGACTGGCAGATGCGCAACGGGAAGCAGTGGCTGCTGGGAAAAACGTTTGACAGCTTCTGTCCTCTCGGCCCTGCATTAGTAACCACCGATGCTGTGGCAGGTGAGAGGGAACGAGAAGCCACAGCAGGGAGAGCAAAACAGAAAGCAGAATTAAAGATGCACGTCAGGAACAAGCTGTAGTTCTGTTAACAGTGTGGTTCCATTGGCTGAGTGGAGCTTTATGATAAATAAATGTCAGTCAAAATAGATTTCTGTGGTTAAACATTCCTGATGATCATGTTTACGGCACGACCTCCAGAATACAGTAAATTGATCTGCAGTCTCTGCTTGATGAGGTTCACAATGACTCAAAAAAATAAAATGATTTTGTTTTTGAAAATGTTTTACTTAGACCTGTGAACAGATCTAACTGTCTAACTAGAGCTATGTTAGTCATAAGCTGCCATGTTCAAAGAAGATATTTAAGTGACTTCATGTTTGACAGGAACTCAAGCTAACAAATATCATTACATATTTGTCCTACAGAACATGGCTTGATAAGACAAATAAGTTAATCGATACTATAGGATTAATCCTAGCACTGTTAGATTAGGAAAGATTATTTAGCAGTATTAATATCAAGGAGTTATATCACTCTCGCTAGGTTTATTAATATAATAATGGCTACTTTTAATTTACTATTGAGTATTTTCTGCAGTGTTTACAAAATTAAATATAAGTTTTTAAAATTTTTTTTCCTTTTTAATACCACAAATAACCCAATTTAATAACAGAATGACAGAAAACCAGTAGGGAATGTAAGTTTACGTCTCTGGGTATGACAGTTTTGACTGAAACTCCACAACTAAACATTTCAATGTTAAAATCAGTCTCACATATATAAATGCATAACGTCTCCCAACAGCCCACAAAAAAAACCA